TTATATAAAAATAAGCCAGTGAATAGAAATTGGCACATGAAACGAGATTATGTCGTTCAATATAAAAGATTCCTTGAAAACACGATTTTAAAAATTGTTTTATAGAACGAAATTGGAATGTTTTCTTTCGATTGCGTGTTAAAGTGCACTCCTCCGCATCGTTTGAACGGATACTATTCTTTAGAGTGGGTCGGGAGAAATCTGGTCCAAAATGAAAAACTACACGTTCCTTCCACCGCATACAATGTCACGTTTCTCATAACGACGCCAGCTCCTTTTTCGCGTTCCGAGCAACGCGAGAATCCATTCACTGAACCCGGAAGTACCCCCGGCTGCATACGAAGCTTCCCGAGCACAATACCAATTCTAGTTTCACCTTCTGATTCCTGTGACAAAAGCCCCGCCGCGATTTCTTTGTTCCACGTTCGCAAAACATAAAATTAATTATCGTGTATCTCTGATATATTCGAGCATCAGAGATCATCTTTCTGTTTCCATACTCGAAATCCTGCTTTATTATAATGTGCAATTTTGATATACAGGTAACCCTCCTATAACACGGTAGATAGGTTCCTAGAAAATGCCGTGTTGTGTGAAACCGTGTTGTATGAGACCCAGAGCCAGNNGTTTAGTAGAAATTCTTAGATGAAGTATGGTATTTTTGTACAACGCGTTCTTGAGAACGGCGAGGGAGGGGATAGTGTAGCCAATAGCGGCAACGACTCTTCTGTGTAAGCTTGTGTAAGTGCGTATGTATACGCTGTGCGATGTATTAGAGGGCCAAAGATTCTCAACCATTTGTTTCTATTTAATATGTGTACCACTACGTGGCAACACTTGAAATGATTGAGACCAACTGAGCGGGACTAACGTCCTTAAAAGGAACCGTCACGGTGTCGCCGGTCGTTGAGCGATACTTTGCACACAACATCAGTGTGATGTCGCCGGACGGCATAGTGTTAATTGTTCAGATTTCTGATAAATCTGTAGATTTATCAGGTAATTTAATACGTGGAAGACAATATTCCGAAAATAATGAAATGCGAATATTACAAGATCGCAAAATGGATCCGGCTATACTATAAATTGGAGAACAGTCTGTTGGGCGAAATTTATTTCGATAATAGTAATTTGCATTTAAAACGAAGTTTAAATAAAATCTGATTGCGCGTGAGGATCTGCTGATAACAGGGACGAGTTTAACTCTGTTGAACGGTGCCGCATGCGATAAGCTCTAGGGAAATCGTTAGGCCGGGGTGGGAGTGTGTGTCTCGCGAATTACCTCGTAACCGGTGGGATTCCCGATGATGGGATGATCCACCAACGTGACGAAGAACAGTGGTCCCCAAAAGATCCCGTATGCGGCCGTGATCACCAGAAACATCTTCACCCTCTGCACGCCCTCCCTTTCCATCCGTTTCAAGTAGTTCCTCATCTTCCGGTGCTCCTCCGCCGCCCCGCTCCTCTGAAGCAACATCTGGCTTTTAGCGACGAGTATCGACCCGAAATTATCACGCCCCTATCTCTCGTGTTTCTGATAATCAGATGAGATGAGATGATATGATCTTTTATATCAGGGATGGCGAGCTTCGGGCTTTTTCTAACTTTTAAGTCCTACTTTCGACTCATCTGTGTACCTTATTAATGATCTGTTAGTCACGTGATAGGAAATAGGTCTCTGAACTTTTTCTGAATTTTTAAACAAACAAATCAATTTTTTTTTCTTAATCAACTGTAACAATATAAAAATGTTAATTAAATTTAATTGAGAATCAATATTAAAGCTGATATTCTTATCTTTAAATATGTACATATGTATTTCTGGGTTCTNTAGAAGAAATTAATTAATTATTAATTAAGATGGAATATAGTCTTATGGGATATTAAGAATTTTTTATGATTGTAATTTACAATATGAGAATTTAAAAAAATTCACACTTATACTACTCGTATACCGATTGGGAGCTCGCGCCAACAGAGCGCTCTGATTGGTCAGGGTTTTTTGTTAATAATTTGTACATCACTTATTTTTTTCACAATTTTTTGATGTCAGATTCGTTGAAAAAAAATTGGATCACAAATCCCTTAAGAGATTTCCCTTAAAATATGAGCAAACTTTATGAAGTTCCAAATTGCATCATAGTACAGCGTTTATACACTATAAAAATAAGAATGTTCGAGAAAGAAAGAGACAGAGCAATGTTATTGAGCTTATCTCCTACCATTGAGAGACTACAGGGAGTCATCAAATACACATATCTCCAGCATCAAGCTGGCCACCCCTGTTCTATCCTACAGGACATTCGATTTTCGTAAATGAAAACGATGACTTATGAATTACATTAAATTTATTCTTTACTAATGATTCATTGTTACAAGAGAGAAAATCAGTTGATTATTACATAGAAATGAAATAATTCTCTTGTTTCTACGATTTATTCTAAATTGGATTCTGATTGGGTTTCATAAAGGATTTTCTATAGTTCGCAAATATCATCGTCTAGTTGAATAAAATTGTTCTCTTGTTGTTAAGTTTACCTTAGGCGTGCCGTTCGTGGATGCGGCGGAATTTTCAGGAACTGGGTTCGTTTGCTGACTACCCGTCGTATTCACGAGAATCGTTAGTAGTGCTACCTTTACCTGACAAAAAAAGTCAATCATTTTCAAAAGTATCCTATTAGAAATTCGAAAACCTGTCTGTTTTCTCTTCTGAAATAATTCATAGATTAACTGTTTTCCAAGCTACAAGGATTTCGAGTGCTACAAAACGCTCTACTACGTCTAGTCTCAATAATACAAGGTGTCCTAAAACTAGTGTAAGATATTGAGATGGGAGGTTCCTAGCGTAATTTTGAATAACATTTTCCTTAGCGAAAAAGTT